AAACAAAGTGTTGCACACTTTATTGGTCCAAAGATGAGGTATGTGTAGACCATTTTGTATAACATTTGCAACTGTAGAAGTTTATTTTAAAATGCAAAGTATTGAAAATATAACAAATAAAAGCTCTGTAAACACATGCATGTTTTACAAGACTATAAGTGTGTCCCATCGAATAATAAAAAGTCCAACACACACTTGCAGTCTTTACGCCTACTTGGAAACTTACACTTAGATGGAATACATCATGCAAATAGATAAGTGGTCAAGTGCCACCGCAAGTGTGGGTATTTGGACAAGGCAAATGTGTCACAATTATGTTCAGTTTGATTTAGTTTGTGGACTTTTAGGTAACACTTTACAATAAGGCTTCCTTCGTTAATGAATAACTACACAAGAACCAATGAGTAACACAATATTAACAATGTAGTAACTAATATTAACTAACAAGAAACTCTGATTAACGAACTAGTAAGTAATAGCACACATATGAAAGTGGTAGTTCACTATTAACTAATCAATAACTACTATTTAATCTAGTAACTACTATGAACAAAAAAAAAAAAAAAAACTCTGATTAACGAATCAGTAAGTAATAGTGCACAGATGAAATTATTACTAGATACTTCTATGGGAATTACTAATTATTTGGATCCGTATTCTAAAGTGAAGATCATTGGAACTAACTATAATGACTCAAGTGTTCCCAGATAGCAAACTGACATTGAATAGACGTGGAAATATGACATCGAAACAACGTTGATCTGACATTGTTTTGCTCATCGAATTAACGTTGAACCAACGTCAGATGCTTCATTCTTTCAAAACTAACGGAAAATCAACTTGAAATCAACGCGTTGTTTCAACGTTATGAAAGCAAACCAATTTTCGATTTCATTTAGCTTTGAAGAATGCCGCGTCTGACGTTGGTTCAACGTTAATTCGATGAGCAAATCAACGTTTCAATGTCATGAGAGACGTCGTTTCCACGTTGATTCAATGTCAGTTTGCTATCTGGGTTATGACTCAAGTGACTCAAAAAATTTTAGTTATTGATTAGTTAATAGTGAACTACCACTTGCATCTGTTCGCTATTACTTACTAGTTGGTTAATCAAAGTTTCTTGTTAGTTAATAATAGTTACTAGATTGTTAATACTGTGTTACTTATTGGTTCTTGTGTAGTTATTCATTAACGAAGGAACCGTATTCTAAAATGTTACCGACTTTTAGTTTGCATTTCATTAGTTCTCATTTTCCTTTGTAAATTTTCCCGCTCATCGTTTGTTACCATAAAGTACTTAAGTTCAGTTTTCTTCTTTGTCAATTGTCGGTTGTTATTCGTGTTCACATATGGAGTTTGTAATAAATCTGTTATTTTATGATCATCTTTGTCTTGATTTGAGCGTTACAGAAAAAAGGGCCGAGGCGGATCTGGTGTGACGGAGCATATAAGTATAGAATGCAGACGAGGGAAGTATTCACACACAGCTGAACCAAACAAACTCATAATGACCGTGACCATGGTAACAAAGGAGGAGTGGGAAAATGAACAAAGGAAAACATAAACTGATAAAATACAAACTTTGGGTACAAAGTTTTTCCTTGATTTTTCCGCGTATACACGCATTTGCAAAAAACGACTAAAATTGCTGTATTCTGCTGCCAGGCAATTGGCTTTATGCACAGCTGCACTACTTCCTGAACTTCAGCCAGCTCCTTGTTTTCTGTCTGCCATTATTGGACAAACCTGATTAATTCAGGTGTGCCTGATTATTGATATTGTGACTACTGAGGTCAGACACACCTGTATTAATCAGTTTGCCCAATAATGGCAGAAAGGAAACAAGAAGCTGGCTGAAGTTCAGGAAGTAGTGCTGCTGTGCATTAAGCCAAATAGATGGCGATGAAAGACTATAGATTGAACCAGCCTGTTCTCACGTAAATGCGTCTCTATAACACGCATTGTGTATTTTTGTGTAATTTATACGCAAAAATCAGTGGCGTAACTTTGTTATAAAAAGTGGGTGGGACATGTGTATATAAATGAATGAATCACGTGACACGTGAATAAAAACATAGATCCGACTTTACAACATGTCCAGTGGAATAGCCTATGCTATAGGCCTACAGAAAGTCCTGTAAAATTAAACGAATAAATTGACCTAATAATATGAATAAAAATTTTATAAACAAAAATATACATAAAAGTAAATTAACTAGGCTATTAGGCCAGAATTTTGATAACTGATTTTTTGCGGAACGCGCACGATTAAAATTTAAAGTGGCTTATAGCCTATCCATTGTACACACAAACTGCTGTACAATTAAACGAATAAATGGGCCAAATAATATAAATAAAGATAAAAAAATAAGTGTATAAACAAAAATGTAAAAAATAAAAATAAAGGCCTACATAAACATTTTAAAAGTAAATTTAAAAAGTAAATTAACTATTAGGCCAACATTTTGATAACTTAACTTTTCCACAGCGTGCACAAATAAAATAAAATTATGCTTATCAATTGTACAAAAAAAAAATGCTGTAAAATTAAATGAATCAATGGGCTTTATTATATATAAATAAAAATATACAGGCTATAGGCCTACTGTAGGCTACATCAACGTTTTAAAAGTATGCTAAATGAACTATTAGGCCAAAATTCGTATAACTGAACTTTTGCGCAGAGTGCACATGTATTACAATTTAAATGGGTTACATTGTCAAACTTTTAGAAAAGAAAGAAAGAAAGAAAGAAAGAAAGAAAGTTCTTTTGAGTTCACCTTCAAGAACACAAGTTTGGACAATGTCTGAGGCTTCAGACTCATGCGGTTGTTGCGGAGAAAACCCTCTCTGCCCTTGCAGACCTGCTTGGGATGCTGAACACAATGCGAGCTAGGCGGGGAAAAGACGTGGAGTCAGACTCGTGGTGTGAGCGGAGCGAAATACAAATCAAATCTTCTGTCCTGACAAAAATAAACATCAGAGATACAAATTTAGAACTTCCACCGGCAATATCAGACTTGGTCAACATTTCCTCTCCAAAGAAACTTCTCTCTAAAATATACAAAATGATCTCAAATCAACCTCAGACCAAATACTTACCAACAATAAAATGGGAAAACGATCTTTCAATAGCCTCTGATGCCAACTTCTGGACCCAAATCTCATATCAAAAAATGCGAATCTTCAGTTAATACAATACAAAATACTTCACAGAACACATTACACAGGCAATAGATTAGCTAAAATGGGTTTCACATCAGAAGTTTGCACACATTGCAATCAAAATTCTACAGATACATACATCCATGCAACTTGGCACTGCACACTGTCACCTTCCCTTTGCTTGCTGGGGGACCTCACAATAATCACTGATAAACTATAAACTCTAAAATACTCCTCATAGCGCTAACCACTAAAGCGCTAAATACTCCTCATAGCGCTAAACGTGAAATAAAGCAATCAGAGCGCCATCCAACATACCCTTTAAGAGCAGGTGCGCATGTTGCATGACGAATTGTTATTTTAACGGCGGGTTTACCAGGCGCTCGCCAGGAGCGTTCACAGCCGATGAGACCGACGTTCTTGTCAGGGCCGTGAAAGACAGAGAGGTGACGTTGTATGTGGATGGGAGAAACCCTCGCACATCAGCGTCGGTTAAACATTATATACCTATGTTTCTTGCCACTATTGGGCAAACAGGTCTGATCCTTTAGTACTACAATTAGCCTTAAAAAATGGGTAATAAGGTTTTTTCATCTTCATGTAAAGCACAATGATTTCCCTCATGTGTTAATATTTTTTCCTTGTTACAATGAATGATTTGCAAAAATAAAAACTGGTGCATCTGTGTTGATGAGAGAATCAAAGTATATGCGCGTTATGTACCCGCTACATTATGGCCAAGCATGCGCTTAAAATAGCATTATGAACAACGCGCAACGCACCACTGACTTTAGACCAGGTTTTTTCTGGTCAGTGGCACAATTGTTTTCTGGAAGTGTAAAATAGCACCAGGGAATGTTTGCGCCGAAACACGGCTCCTTTTTGCGCCGATCCCCCCAGGAAGAGCAAGTTCATTTCAGCCCGTTCTCATCCTTTAGCGTCACCTAAAACGCTATATGACAAAACGGCGCTATACTACGCACATGGCACCCTTTATTGTTAATATAACACGCGAACCCAAGACGTCATAATTCCTTTAGCGTGAATATGACACGCAGACCCTACCCCACACCTAAACGTAACTCTCACAGCGCGTGTTATATTAACGATAATGGGTGCCATGGGAGTAGTATAGCGCCGTTTTGTCATCAGTGTTGGGGAAGTTACTTTTAAAAAGTAGTGTTTGCTCGTTACTCGTTACTTTTTAAAAAAGTAATCTGTTACTTTACTTAGTTACCCCCTTTGGAAAGTAACTTTTTACGTTACTCGTTACTTTTACGTTACTTTTATGTTCCTTGACTTTGGGCAGAACCCAATATATGTTCCTAAATGTGTTGGCCTACATAAAGTTCTACTATGGATGACATAACAGTTATTTCTTTTGTGCTCTTTATTATAAAAAATAGTATCAAGGCTCCTTGGGAACAACACGGTAACCTCAAATATGTCTCAAAATAAAACATTCATGCCTCATCTAAATCCAACAAAAAAAATAAAAAAAACTTAAAAATGGCTTGATGTTGATGGCTTGTGTAAATAAAATGGCATAATACAGCTTAGAGGCAAAGACATTTTAGCCAAAATAAAATCAAGCACAACTTAAAGGATGACTAGCCTCAGAATTAAAAAGGCTTTGTTAACTAAATATGCTGGTCCTTCTTCACAGTTTGATGGCAGATAAAAGAGGATATTGGGCATAGGCTTGGGTTGTTTATAGCATGGGTGGCAGGCAACCTATTCCACAACTGCAGAAAATGGGTGATTATACCTCATCAGGAGCAGTCTTTCAAACCGTTTATCTGAAAGTCTGTTTCTTCTGGGGGTAAGCACAAGACCTCCCAGGCTGAACAGCCTTTCCACTGGTGCACTGGATGGTGTGGCAGTGTTGTACTTCATGAACACAGCTTTTACTCGGGGGAAACGGTTGAGAGTTTCTATCTCTGAGCCTGATCTCATGTATTCAAGTACCTCTGAGTCTGCGCTAAAGGCCATTGCATCTTCCTCCTCATCAAAAGCAAAAAAGTCCTTCTCATTGGCGCTGCTGTGTGCGGCAACCTCTCTGTTTTTATTCTCAGCCGGCTCTGCAACATGGGGTAGAGTGCGGCACTCCGCGATGAGCAGGGCACGTGCCGCTTCTCTCCGCTCCTCTCCCCCTATCCAACGAACTTTAAATTTTGGCAACGTCAAGGCAGCCAATAAAGCTTCCCTGCTCTCCAACACCGGTGCGAATCGCGTCTTGATAGCCTAGGAGGACGAAATAATATAGAAGACAAGCTTAGTTTTCAGAAATGCCTCTCTATAGCACGCATTGTGTATTATCGTGCAATTTATACGCGAAAATGAGTTTTCACGTGCATATGATACGCAGTTTTTGTGTGCATTTGATACGCAGTTCATTTGCGTGTAATACACACGACACGAACCCCAATTGGTTGATAAAACATTGATTGAAATTAAGATACAATTTATGAAAAAAAAAAAATTAACTTTAAAGAAAGGCTTTCTACAGAAAAAAAAAAAAAAACGGTGAAGTAGTCAAAATCATGTCTGCCCACTCCATTTGTCTCCCGATATATTACGCAAAATTATGATCTTACTCATGGTTTTCACTTTTCATATTATCAACATAGATGAAAAAAATTATTTTTTTTACATAAATATGAAACTAAATCGGGGTTTTTTTAATGACTAGGATACAACACGTAGGCCTGTTACTTACTTTCAGATAGGCTATTAAGAATTGGCTTACCTGTACAATTACACCCGGTAGGTCTGCTGTCATCCTTGATAGTCCATTTTGGAGTGCGAGCGTCCTTGACATCAGGGTCTCCAGGGTTGGTAGAAGACAACCATAGTAACAATTATCTTCACCTTGCAAGATATCCAGTGCTACTGTCAGTGGTTTCAAAACACTGCAGTATTCCTTTAGGAATAGATGTTCGCGCTCTGTCGGGCCTCTGATATCCAGTCTAGTACAAAGCGTATTCAAATCTTGGGCCGGGATGTCACTGATACGGGACAAGGCATCGTGGAAGGAATTCCACCTTGTTGATGTAGGCACGATCATTTTTTTCCCACAGATTTCATCGACAATCTCAGAGGCCATGGTAGAACGGCTTGCCTTTGTCCAAAGAGCAGCACACTTCGCCGTTGCACTCCTGTACACAGATTTTGAGTCAGTATTAGATGACAGCCATTTGTCGATGTCATTGCACGAGATCAAATTGAGCGTATGCGAAGCACACCTAAAATGCGGGGGAAGAGAAAACTGTCCTTCTGTGGTCCCAAGCAACTCTTCCACATCTGTGAAAACTACACCTTGCTCTGCATCCTCCTCCTCTTCCTCTTCGTCAGGCTCAGGGCGTGCATACATCTTAAAAGCTTTAACAAAATTCGACCCGTTGTCTGTAACGGTGGCGGTGATCCTATGTGAAAGGCCAAACGTTGAGTGAATCTGTTCCATTTCAAAGCCAACAACATCATATGTATGCCTGCCCTTTATTCGTTTGCATGCGATGGCAGCTTTCTCACGATTCAAATTGCGTGGATTGATCCAATGCACGGTGATTCCCAGAAAGCTTCTGTTATGGCTACTCCATATATCCGCAGTGGTTGACACATACTGCAAACTTTCGAACGTTTTCTTTAATTCAGTCTCCATTTTTAGATAACATTCGTCCAGATAGCCTGTGAAAGTTCTACGATCTGACCATGGCCGCCTGTCTCCTGTTATTGGTATTTTGCTTAGTATCTTTCTGAAAGTGGGAGATTCGACAGTACTGATGGGCAACATTTCATCGATGATGAACGAAGCGACAAGTTTGTCCAACTCTTGTTTAGTTACCTCCTGGTGGTGAAAATGAAGTTTTAGCTGCTTATTTGGAGTTGGAATCGACACATCATCATTTCCCCGGGGATCTTGAGCGACAAGCTTCATGTTAGCATGTTTTCCTTTCAAATGCTTGCTGAGGTTCGCAGTTGAGTTAACGGCGGTGGACAAAAGTTTCTCGCCAGGACACAGTGTGCACCTTACACTCACATTCCTCCCCTTAGTTTCAACGAGTTTGAAGTAGTGGGAATACTTCCATCCCTCAAAAGTTAGCGTTGGCTGCTTCTCGCTTGCCATGATTGCTCTGAGTCTGCTACAGCCTCTGTCCGTTGCTACCGTGTTTGTGAGTATTGCGCGCGCAAGCGCGCAGCTGGGAAAAAAGTGTCGCTGTCAAATTTTTCCATGGGGAAAGTAACGTTGCGCCGAATTTAAAAAGAAACTACATTTCGTTACCAAATTTTTAGTAGTAACGCGTTACACTACTTTTTACCCGAAAAAGTAGTTACGTTACTGTAACGCGTTACTTTGTAACGCGTTACACACAACACTGTTTGTCATATAGCGTTCTATATGATGCTAAAGGATGAGAATGGGTTGTTCATTTCCTAGTTTACCGACGTGCGTCTGTGGAGGGAAAAGCCCGCTTTGCGTGGGTGCAAAATAGGAATGAGACATGCGTTAGTCTATAAAGTCATTTGCGCCGGGTGCAAGATAGGGCCCATAATGCGCATACTGTAAGTATGACGTCATCATTTTCAGATGTTGTTTACAGGGTTTTCAAAAGTTGGCATTTTCAGTCACACGGTTGTTGTGTAAATGAAAGGCCAAAGCAAATACAAAGTTTTAAGTTCTTACTTGAAAACGGTGTCGTGTGAAAAGCCCCTATAAAAATCCCAGAAATAAAACAAACTGAACATAATTGACACAATGGAAGTTCTTTAGCTGGCACATGACACATGTAATGTATTCAATTTGAAATTTGACATTTTCTATGCATGTATATACTGTATGTATGTATGTATTTTACCCTAGACAGATGGCCAGTCTGTTACAGTTTTTTTTATTATTATTATTATGTCTCCCTTTTCATTTCATTTCTTCATTTATAACCAGTCTACTGAGCCTAAATGCCATTTGACTAACTGCCCTGGAGCCAAAAATCACAATACAATTGCAAAAATAAAGCAAGCTGATGTCACCACAATAATGCATTAAATGCATTTAAAAGCCCTTCAAAAATGAGTCACTATATCATCTTTTGTAATATTCAAGACTACATATTGCTTGCAAACCACAAGACTTCTGTCAATGGCTGACAACAGAAAAAGATGCTTTTCACCCCAGGATATTGTAGTTATCGACATCTACCAGCAGAGGCTAACTGGATCATTCTAACCAGCCAAACCCTCCCTTCTTGGCACACAAATAAATATTAGTTCCCCAAAAGCCTCTGATCTTTCCCTGGTGTCTAACCCAGAACCTCCCTTGGGAACCGAAACAGCCTTCCGGACTGCCAGCTCATCTGCATTCAGCATTGATCACCACACAAAACCACCCACTCCGTCATCTGTCATTTAAGGTCTGGACTGGAGCACAGACTCCCCAAGGTCATCCCTGGCATTCTGACATCACTCAGAACAGCCCACAGGAATATGGCCTAATCTAATTAGACTGATTATTTCAAACTTGGCTCACTTCATCATGTGAAAGGGCCCTAAAGTGTGTGTCTACATTAGCGTGTTGTGATCCGGATTGATTATTCACTTTATGCACACAGTGGAAACATCAGCGGAAATGGAAGAGCTGGAGGTATTTTCAAGTGGTCAAGTGCTGGCCGGTTAGCATGGCCCCATTAGCCTCTGCTAGCAGATGCCGTGACTACACACTCTGCTTCTAAAAAACAGACTTTATTCATCATTAGCCTTGTATTCTGACCGTTTTTATTTATTTATTTGAAAGCAAAATATCAGTTTTGTTTCATTAGAGCACCTTTGATGCTTTTTTGATTTCCTTTTTCTTTTTTGAAAGGCTCTTAAAGCGACATGAAATAGGAACCTTCTAAATCCATGTTATTGACCTTATTGAGATTTTATTCATCCATGCGTATGTTTAATTTTAGTTTTACATTGTAATTTTTAACCAAAACGCCATAACTTGATCTTCCGTTAAAACGTATGTTGGATTTTTCCAATCATTTCATCTGCTTAAACCCCGTCCCTTTCTTTGCAAGTGTCACAGGTCGAGGGGAGGAACGCTCGGGTGACCAACCACCCCCCCTCTAACTGAGTCACCACCGTGAGGAGCCGACACCACAGGCACACAACAGAGGACCCGGAGACAGAGATAAATTTCAAAGGAGTAACAATCTTTATTAAGCCAAAGGTTTCTCACAGTTTGAGAGACTCTCGTCGATGTATGATGATGGAGCAGGGGGGTTGAAGCTTACTTCTCCCCAGCGGTGCTGCAGACTTCCAGACCCAAGAGAAAGTATGTCAGGTAAGGATTCTTCACGGTACAAAGTACTCTCGTTGGTGCACAGTAATGAAGCAGTGGATTAGAAGCTTACTCTTCCCCAGCGGTGCTGCAGACTTCCAGACTCAGACAGTAAGTATGGCGGGTAAGGATTCTTCACAGTACAGAGTACTCTCGTTGGTGCACGATAATAAAGCAGTGGATTAAAAGCTTACTTTTCCCCCAGCGGTGCTGCAGACTTCCAGACTCAGACAGTAAGGATGGCAGGTAAGGATTCTTCACAGTACAGAGTACTCTCGTTGGTGCACGATAATAAAGCAGTGGATTAAAAGCTTACTTTTCCCCCAGCGGTGCTGCAGACTTCCAGACTCGGACAGTAAGTATGGCGGGTAAGGATTCTTCACAGTACAGAGTACTCTCGTTGGTGCACGATAATAAAACAGTGGATTAAAAGCTTACTTTTCCCCCAGCGGTGCTGCAGACTTCCAGACTCAGACAGTAAGTATGGCGGGTAAGGATTCTTCACAGTACAGAGTACTCTCGTTGGTGCACGATAATAAAGCAGTGGATTAAAAGCTTACTTTTTCCCCAGCGGTGCTGCAGACTTCCAGACTCAGACGGTAAGTATGGCAGGTAAGGGTTCTTCACAGTACAGGGTACTCTCGTGGGTGCACGGTAATGAAGCAGTGGATTAAACGATTACTTTATCAGCGTTGCTGTATACTTCTGGGCTCAAACAGTAAGTAGAACAGGTGAGGATATTCACAGTACACAGTACTCTCTCTTCAGTTCACAATAGGGAGACAGTGAGTCATAAGGTTACTTTACCAGTGGTGCTGTATGCTTCTGGGCTCAAACAGCAAGTAGAACAGGTGTGGATCTTCACAGTACAGTAGGGCGACAGTGGGTTAAACGATTACTTTATCAGCGGTGCTGTATGCTTCTGGGCTCAAACAGCAAGTAGAACAGGTGAGGATAGTCACAGTACACAGTACTCTCTCTTCAGTTCACAATAGGGGGACAGTGAGTCATAAAGTTACTTTACCAGTGGTGCTGTATGCTTCTGGGCTCAAACAGCAAGTAGAACAGGTGTGGATCTTCACAGTACAAAGTACTCTCTCCTCAGTTCACAGTAGGGCGACAGTGGGTTAAACGATTACTTTATCAGCGTTGCTGTATACTTCTGGGCTCAAACAGTAAGTAGAACAGGTGAGGATAGTCACAGTACACAGTACTCTCTCTTCAGTTCACAATAGGGGGACAGTGAGTCATAAAGTTACTTTACCAGTGGTGCTGTATGCTTCTGGGCTCAAACAGCAAGTAGAACAGGTGTGGATCTTCACAGTACAAAGTATTCTCTCCTCAGTTCACAGTAGGGCGACAGTGGGTTAAACGATTACTTTATCAGCGTTGCTGTATACTTCTGGGCTCAAACAGTAAGTAGAACAGGTGAGGATAGTCACAGTACACAGTACTCTCTCTTCAGTTCACAATAGGGGGGCAGTGAGTCATAAAGTTACTTTACCAGTGGTGCTGTATGCTTCTGGGCTCAAACAGCAAGTAGAACAGGTGGAGATCTTCACAGTACAAAGTACTCTCTCTTCAGTTCACTGTATCACTCTGGGCTTCTGACGGAGGCAGATATAATAACCTTCCACGAACGTGTAAGCATGGATGGGGGCCACTTCTCAACAAAGACACAGCACACTTGTGTTCCTTCAATTCCACAGCAATAAATCAATGTGTATCAATAAGGCAAAAGCACTGCAATTCACTCACACGATAGGGTTGGACAGAGGCCCCACTCCGGCCGTTGCGCTCGTTTACAGGGTTTTCACTTTTAATTCCTCCTCATCACACTCTGAAACACATAGCTCCTCCAACAGTCAGATCCACATTCACTGTATCCTCTTCAAGTGGTTCAAATGTTCCTAAGATGAAAACAATTCACTTATCTTTCCTCTCTCCTTCCACAGCACAGATCCAGCCCCAGCTCGGTCCAGCAGTCTTCCCACAAACGATCAATCTGACCCAGCAAACTCGAATGGGCGATCTCCACACTCCAACGATTT